TTCCCTCCCTCCTCCTCCTCCTCCTCCTCCTCCGCCACCTCCTCCTCCTCCTCATGATCATCATGATCATCATCATCCTCCCTCCCTCCTAATCTTCCTCTTCCTCCCTCCCTCCATCCCTCCCTCCTCCTCATCCTCCTGTTTCTCTCCCTCCTCCACATCCTCCTTTTCCCCGTCCTTCTACTCCTCTCCTCCTCCTCCTCCTCCTCCTCCTCCTCCTCCTCCTCCTCCTCCTCCTCCTCTTTCTCCTCCTCTCTTCCTCCTCTCTTCCCCTCCTCCTCCTCCTCCTCCTCCATTTTCTGATACTTTGTGTCGCCCTGTCGCACCCCGAGGCCAGAACTCTCGAGAGCTGCCCGAGCACCCCGAGCCCCTCTGGAGCCCAAACCAGTCCTCAGTGGAGCGTCCTGGCTGTCGCTGTTGCTGCGTCTCTTTCGACTCGGGACCCGCGTTGGGCGCCCTCGTTATCCGGGGTAACTCGGGCCCGGGGTAACTCGGGTTCGGACTCCCGAAAATAGAACCCGAGTTAGCCCTGACCCGAGTTACCCCTGATGATTTGGGGCTCAGGACGCCCGAATTATCCGGGGTAGCTCGGGCCCTGGGTAACTCGGGTTCGGATTCCCGAAACAATGAACCCGAGTTAGCCCTGACCTGAGTTGCCCCTGATGATTCGGGGCTCGGCTCGGACCGCGTGCGCCGCGGGCCGTGGGGAGGACACGGTAGGCACGTGCTCTGGATGGGGCAATCATCGCCCCCCCCCCTTGGATCCGCTGGGGCGGTTGGGCACGTGCTGTCGGAACGGGTGGAGGGGGTGTTGGAGGAGGAGGAGGAGGAGGAGGAGGAGGAGGAGGAGGAGGAGGTGGAGGAGGGGGATGGGATGGGCAAGCTCCGTCGGAAGGTTAGTCGCCCACCCCTCGTTCAAATTCTTTCTTTCAACGACCGATGGGTACGAATCAAAATCTTGCGATCACAAATCCTTGAGCACTCTCTTCGTCAAGGTTTGCGAGGGTTCTAAGAAGGCGCCCCAGCGCTTCTCGTGGTCCCTGGGGCCATCGGGGGAGAACGAATTTCTGTGGCGCTGCTGCTGGCAAGCTTGTGTTTTTTGATCCCGAAATGTCCCACCAGAGGTCTGGAACCCTTCCCAGGGACCGGCTTCTTGTCCTGAGCCGTTTTTTGCTGACGGCTCTGGGGCCCAGCGAGGGTCCTGGAGGCCGAGAAGGACGAAACAGAACTCCGCACTGCCCTCTTTAGCAAAGATGGAAGCCCAGGACCAGACAAGCGACCTCCACTACTCGCAAGGGAACTGCCCCGAATGGCCTGGCCCCGCCAGGGGCCGATCTACGATACGTTCCTTCTGTGCAGACACGTGCTATATTTTTCTAATGTCTGCGAGTGGGCAACTTTTTGCGAGCAGTGGAACGCGCCCGGTGCGGAACTGCAGCGCGTCGATCGCCGGTCCTCCGGAATCTCGGCCATGCGGCTGGGCGGCCACGCGCCGAAGCGCTCGCCGGGCAGCGGGACGTGGCCGTCGATGCCCGGCCCGGGCGGCGGGGCCCGGGAGGACGCGGACGGGGAGCGCGCCTCGAGCGGCTCGGGCTCCAGGTGCGGGGCGGTGCCGCAGCCGATGCTGCCGGGTCTGCGCGGGATCGCATCGCGGCAGCGGAGCGGATGTCGGCAGCGGATCGAAGCGTCCAGAGGCGGAGGTCGGTCTATACCGGATATTCGCCGCGCCTCGCTCGTCGGCGGGCCCGGGCCGATGCCGGTGGACAGAGCTGGATCGCCTCGAGCCGGAGTCGCGGCCCCAGCGGGCGGATCGGATCGCATCGGATCGGATCGCAGGTGGCCCTGCCTGTTCGGCGCGGAGCCGAGCGGGGAGGCCGCCGCAGCGGCGTCGCCAGTGGGCGTGCGCTCCTGGGGGGCAGGGGCCGGCAGCGAGCGCGCCGCGGGGGGGGGGGGGAAGCAGCGGGGAGCGGGGCCTCTCGGAGGGCCTGGGCGGGCACCGAGCTTCCGAGGAGCTTGCGGGGCCTTCTCTCCGAAGGCACAGGCGGCTCATCCGAAGGCGCGCGGGGCTCTGAGGAGCACCGCCGCCTTCTGAGAAAGCCTGCCCCCTCTCGCTCCCCCCCCTGGGCGCTCGAGCGAACAGACAGGCAAAGACGGCATGCAGGCAGTAGGGGGGCCCGACAACAAGAAGCCTTCCACAAGAAACCCATCCCTGAGACCCCAGGACGTCCATTGATTCTTGGTGGGGGAACGTCGCGCTTGCCATCGCAAAACCATCGAAACCCAGGAAACCCAGGGCACCCTGGAGGCGAGCAGGGTGCTCCTCGGCATGGGCCCCCACCGTATGGACGTTCGGAGGTCCGCGAGGACTATTGGCTTGGCGCCGCCCCCGCAGGAGGAGGAGGAGGAGGAGGCGGAGGAGGAGGAGGAGGAGGAGGCCCGCTCCCCTCCCAGCGCCGACCTAAGAGATCCGCGCGGGCCTTGGGCCCTGGCATGCTTTTTGTTCGCACCGGGCAGCGCGCAGGAGTGGCCCGAGGCGGGCGTGCCCTTCGGTGCGTGGCTGCCCGGGGCCGCGGAGGAGGGGGGGGGGGAAAGCCCAAGCGATCCAGCCAGTGCTCGGGGGGAAAGCCCGATGCGGGAGTGCCCTGCGGTGCGTGGCTGCCGGGGCCGCGGAGGAGGGGGGGGGGAAGCCCGAGCGATCCAGCCAGTGCTCGGGGGGAAGGCCACCCTGGCGCGGCCGACGTGCAGCCGGGATTGGTCCCAGAAGACTCCCGAGGGAGGACGCACGTCCCTGCCGAGGAACCCGCGCTCCAGACATGAAGAGGGCACGGGAACGCGATGTGCCCCAAACCTCCCTTTCCCCTGGCCATTGGTTGGGTTCTCGTTTTGAATTACTAGAGCAGTGGGGTGCCGACTCCCTTCTCCTTCTCCTTCTCCTTCTCCTCACGCCCTCTGTCCCCCTCTCGCCTGCCTGCGCCTGTCTGCAACTGCCTGCTGGGGGAGCCAGCTCTGCCCCCCTCTCGCTTGCCTGCCTGTTGGGGGGCCAGCACAGTGGGGTTCCACGCAGACCCAAACGGGACCTTGCCATCCCTGGTGTGGGGGAGGGGAGGGGGGGGGGCGAGGTGTCATACTGTCGCTACTTTCAAAGGCTGCTGGGGGAGCCTCCACAATGGGGTCCCACGCGGACCCACACGGGACCTCGCCATCCCGGGGGGGGCGAAGTGTGGGACCGTGGCCACTTCCGAAGGCCGCTTGGCGGGCCAGCACAATGGGGTCCCACGCAGACCCAAATGGGACCTCGCCATCCCTGAACGGCTGCAAAGTGTGAAACTGTCGCAACTTTCGAAAGCTGCTTCGGCGGCCAGTGGAGTCCCGCGCAGACCCAAACGGGACCTCGCCATCCCTGGATGGCCGCGGAATGTGAGACTGTCGCCACTTTCGAAGGCTGCTCCGGAAACCAACACAAAAGGCCCTCACGCAGACCCAAACGGGACCTCGCCATACCTGGAGGGGCTGCGAAGTGTGAAACTTTCGCCACTTGCGAAGGCTGCTGGGGGGGCCGACACAGTGGGGTCTCACGCAGACCCAAACGGGACCTCGCCATCCCTGAGTGGCTGCGAAGTGTGGATCCGTCGCCACGTTCGAGGGCTGCTTGGGGAGCAAAGACGGTGGGGACCCATGCTGACCCAAACAGGACCTCGCAACCCCTGGGTGGCTGCAAATTGTGAAACTGTCGCCACTGTCGAGGGGTGCTGGGGGGGCCAGCACAAAAGGCTCCCAGGCACACCTAAGCGGGACCTCGCCATCCCTGGGGGCTACGAAGTGTGAAACTGTCGCCACTTTCGAAGGGCTGCTGTGGGGGCCAGCACGCTGGGGTCCCACGCATACCCAAACAGGACCTCGCCATCCTCTGTTGGCTGCAAACATTGAAACTGTCGCCACTCTCGCATACCTGCTGGGGGAGCCAGCGCAGTGCGACCTGTGAAACTTGCGCCGCTTTCGAGGGCCGCCGGGGGGGGCCAACACAGTGTGGCCCCACGCAGACCCAAATGGGACCTCAACATCCCTGGGGGGGTGCAAAGTGTGGAACCGTGGCTACTTTCGAAGGCCGCTTGGCGGGGCAAGCGCAAAAATTCCCCAGGCAGGCACAAACGGGACACCGCCATCCCTGGGTGGCTGCGAGGCGTGAAACTGTCGCCACTTTCGAAGGCTGCTTGGGGGGGGGCAGCGCAAGGGGGTCCCCCACAAACCCAAACGGGACCTCGCAATCCAGCCAGCACAATGGGGCACCATGCTGACCCAAACGGGACCTCGCCATCCCTGATGGCTGCGAAATGTGCAACCGTCGCCACGTTCGGGGGCTGCTGGGGGGGCCAGCACAGAAAGGGCCTCACGCAGACCCAAACGGGACCTCGCCATCCCTGGGTCGCTGCGAATTGTGTATCTGTCACCAATTTCGAAGGCTGCAAACATTGAAACTGTCGCCACTCTCGCATACCTGCTGGGGGAGCCAGCGCAATGCGACCTGTGAAACTTGCGCCGCTTTTGAGGGCCGCCGGGGGGGGCCAACACAGTGTGGCCCCACGCAGACCCAAATGGGACCTCGACATCCCTGGGGGGGTGCAAAGTGTGGAACCGTGGCTACTTTCGAAGGCCGCTTGGCGGGGCAAGCGCAAAAATTCCCCAGGCAGGCACAAACGGGACACCGCCATCCCTGGGTGGCTGCGAGGCGTGAAACTGTCGCCACTTTCGAAGGCTGCTTGGGGGGGGGCAGCGCAAGGGGGTCCCCCACAAACCCAAACGGGACCTCGCAATCCAGCCAGCACAATGGGGCACCATGCTGACCCAAACGGGACCTCGCCATCCCTGATGGCTGCGAAATGTGCAACCGTCGCCACGTTCGGGGGCTGCTGGGGGGGCCAGCACAGAAAGGGCCTCACGCAGACCCAAACGGGACCTCGCCATCCCTGGGTCGCTGCGAATTGTGTATCTGTCACCAATTTCGAAGGCTGCTGGGGGAGCCAGCATGGTGGGGCCCCACGCAGACCCACACGGGACCTCGCCATCCCTGGGGGAGCTGCGAAGCGTGACGCTTTCGCCACGTTCGAAGGCTGCTGGGGTGGGGGCAGCACAGAGGAACCCCACGCAGACCCAAACAGGACCTCGCCATCCCTGGCGAGCTGCAAAATGCGGAACCGTCGCCACTTGCGAGGGCTGCTGGGGGGGGGGAGGAGCCCCACGCAGACCCAAACGGGACCTCGCCATCCCTGGGTGGCTGCAAAAGTCGCCACTTGCGAGGGCTGTTAGGGAACCAGCACAGTGTGGCACCACGCAGACCCAAGCGGGACCTCGCCATCCCTGAGCGGCTGCAAAGTGCGGAACCGTCGCCACTTTCAAGGGCTGTTGGGGGCGCCAGCACGCTTGGGCCCCACGCAGACCCAAATGGCATCTCGCCATCCCTGGGGGGGTGCGTAGTGTGAAGGTGTCGCCACATTCGAGGGCTGCTGTGGGGGCCAGCACGCTGGGGCCCCACGCAGACCCAAATGGGATCTCGCCATACCTGGGGGGCTGCGAAATGTGAAACTGCCCCCCCGTTCGAAGGCTGTTGGGGGGGGCAGCACAGTGGGGTCACACGCAGATCCCAAAACGACCTTGCCATCACCTCGCTGCTTCTGCCGATGTGATTGTTCTTCCACCCCGATGTCTTCCTTTTGCTTCTCCTTCCGAATACAATGCTTCCTGGCCATTTGTACCTCTGTCCTGCGAGTCGGCCACGCATATTTTGCACGACATGCATATCCGCCGTGTACCGTCTCTTGCAGTGCTGCTGCCGCGAAATTGTCGCCACACCTCATACTATCCCTGGGTGCCGATGGGTTGGGTATGTTGCAGGGTACTGGTTTGCAGCCTGACCTGCTGATCAGACTCGACTCCACAGAGGTCGCTCTGGCGAAAGACCTGTCTAGGGTGCAGTCGAGGTTGACGCCGACTACCAGGAGGGTGGCGCGAACGGCGCGACCCCCCAGGAGCTCAGGGTGCGTCTTAGAAAGAAGGGGCCCACAAACACACAAATACATACACACAAATAAAAAGATGCCCCATATTTTCCCATGTTTTCTGGGTTTTTGTCTCCCCCCACTTCCCATAGTTTCCCATATTTTCCATGGGATCGACGATTGATTGTGTCTGTGTGTTTCTTTCCCTCCTGATAGAAGGCAGGGGCCCTCTTGCAAGGCCAGGGGCTTCTGAGGAGCCGCCTCCCTCGCGCCAACCCCCTTGCACGCAGCGCCAGTGTGTGTGCAGGCATCTGCTGCGTCGGCCGTGCATCGGCGACGCCGGCGTGAAGAAGATCGGGCTCCACATCATCATCATCATCATCATCATCATCATCATCATCATCATCATCATCATCATCATCATCATCATCATCATCATCATCATCATCATCAGCATCAGCATCAGCATCAGCATCAGCATCATCATCATCATCATCATCATCATCATCATCATCATCAACATCAGCTTCGTTGTCGTCGTGGCCATCGTCGTCATCGTCGGCGCAATCGGCCTCCAGGGGCCATCGCCCGGCCCTGGGGCCGCCAGAAAACAACTCGGGATAAAAAGCCGGCCCTGGGGAGGGGTCGAGACCGCCCGGGGGTCGACGTGCATCGCCGATACATCAGCGATACGGCGCGATCCCCCGACCCCGCCTGCCCGGACCCCGTCTGTAAGACGAGAACAGAAGCACGGTGCGCTCGCCTCAGGATGCGTCCCAGGAGGCCCGCGTCTCTGGAGCCCGCGAACCAACATGAAACCATGGAGGGTTTGGACGGCACCACTTCCCCAAACATCGGGTCGGGCGACATGGGGGGGACAGCAAGAGGGGGGGGGGGGAGAATCGGCTCACGTAGCTGAACTTCCCGGCGCCTCCCGGCGCCGGGAGGCCGCCGTGTATATCGAGGAATGGACCCCTCGGCGGGGCCGAAACTAGCTGCCTGCAGCAGACTTCCTACCCCCCCTCCTTCCCAAATTCCCCCCCGTTCGTCCGGCCCGACAGCAGCGCCTGGCGCCCGGCCTCGTGCCCGCGGGCGCCTCGGGGGCGCCCCCGTGCGCTGAGGGCGGGGAGCTGCCGAGGCCTCGCCCGGTGCCCGGCCCCCGTGGGCGCCTCGAGCGTATTGGGCGGGGGGGGAGCCGCCGAGGCCTCGCCCCGGTGCCCGCCCCGTGGGCGCCTCGCGGGCACCTCGTCTGCGGGGCGGGCGCTGCCGAGGCGTCGCCTGGAAGTCTGACCGTGGCGCCTCGTGGGCGCCTCGCCCGCTGGGCGGCCACACAGATGGCACCGGGCCGCTTGCACCACAGCGCTGGCACCACACAGCCTGCACCACACAACACACACCACACAGCCTACACCACAGAGGTTACACCCCAGATCCTGCACCGCCTAGGTTGCACCCCACAGCTTACAGCCCGCAGCTCATCTTACATGGCTTGCACCGCATAGCTTGCACCACATACCTTATACCACACATGGTGTACCGCATAGCTCACATCACAAGATTTGCGCCACCCAGCGGCTTACTGCTTGGGCCCCAAGCTGGCTAACGCGATCATGACCTCTTGCTCCTTTGAGTCTACACTCGGACCTTGGCCAGAAGAACATCCCTCAAGAGCACGAGACCCTCCGCCGGCAGAATCGCACAGAACATGGGAGGTGCCCTCCCCCAGGTTGCACAAGAGCATCCAACAAACACGAAGAACACTGGGGCACTCTCCCCGAACCGACCTCGATCTTGTACCTAAGGCCGATTGAACTCGGGGCCCCATCTGGGAAGCCTGGATGCATGCAGGCCCTGCCTTTGCTCCCCGCAGCTCCGGCGCCAGCGTCACCGGCTGCCACACGTCGTCGGAGGACCGGGGTCCCTCACGGAGGCAGGGAGGACACGACGGCAGCTTGAGACAAACGTTCGGAGGACCGCGGGGACTTCCTCGAGGGGCAACGACCTGTGGGGCTTGTACCTGACCGTGTAAGATCGTCGGAATATCAGAATCGAATCGGTTAGGGCCAAGCCAGATCCGATACCAGACAGGCTGGATCGGATCGAGGCTCGAATCGACAGCGGGTCGCGTCCAGGCGTGGTGGGCGCAAACTGGCGGAGCGACACGCTGAGCAAGGAGTTCCCCACCACAGCAGTTGAGGGGCAACGATAAGGGGTAATAGGCAGAGGGGGGGACACATCGACTTGGGATCGGCGATACATCGCCGTTAAATCGGCGAGAGGCCCCCGATAGTAAATCCGCACGTTCCTGGGCAGGTTGGGACTATCGGGCCCCAATGGGCGATCAATGGGCGATTGGGGGTCGATGCTATGCCCATCTCCCCCTATCGTTTCCCCATATTCTTGGATCGGCGCTGGACCCCTCTGGCGGGCTCCGCGCGCCAGGGAGGTCCAGCGCCAACCCTCAAAGGAGAAACAAAAGCCATCGCCAACGAGAACCCATCCGGGTGGGGGGCGGACCCCTGGGCTCAGGTCGGGCATGTCCCCCTACAGGCGGATTTTGAAGGGAAAATGAAAAATAGTCAAAACAAATATTCTAAAGCAGGTAAGGATAAACAGAAAATCGTCCCCGGACGATTTTTCGGCTACGATTTTTCGGCTCATGTAGAGTGACGTGCCCGACTCAACCCTGGGAGGTGGCACGCTCGGGCGTCACCCGGCATGGGCCGACGCTTGGGCGTGCCATCGCCCCAGGGGAGGGCACTGCGCGATGGCTGCTCGGAGGCGGACGCCTCCGTCCTCTCTCGGAGGTCCAAGAGATCCGCCTGGACCTCCGATAAGTTTAGGCGTAGGTCGGGCGTGTCCTCCCACAGGCGGATTTTGGGCGCGAAATGCAAATTAGTCAAAGCATGTGCCGACATAGCAAAGAATAGTGGAACAATCGCCCCGAGACTTTGTTCTGACTATACTTGAATGTTCCTTCTGTAGAGGGACGTGCCCGACCTACGTGTCCCGACCCCTTCCCCACGAGCAGCTGCGGGGGCGCATTGGTGACGTGTTCGCCCCCCCGGTCCTGGATCCACTTTTCATGGCCCCGGGCCCGGAAACGGCTCGCGAAAGCCGAGATCGCAGCAAATCCACTGGATGAGAAGCATACCGTCAGAGACCTGTGTTCGACATCGGCCCTGGCTTTTATCGCTACTCCCCAAGACCTCTCCTGGGATGCACCCTGATCAGCTTCGAGGCGAATTCAGCAGTGGCGACGAGGGTCTCCCAGAAGGCCCAAACAGGCTAACAGAAAACAATGCAAGGGTAGTGGATTCGGTACCCTATTCCCCTCTGCTCGGCGGCGAGCGAAGGGGTGAAGAAAAAGAGGGAGACGCCATTCACGGAAGGCGGCGGGCCTTCTCAGAAGCCTTCTGGCCTTCTGAAGAGCCCATTTCGTCTTCGGGGAAGTCTTAGAACACTCTTCAGAAAACCTGGCGACGTCCGAGCCTGAGATGTGGACATGGACATGCATCCGGACCTGCGGTGTCTTGCCTTCTTCAGTGCGGGGTCCCTGGAACTCCCGACCCTGTCCCCGGGCCGGTTCTTCATCCCGGGCCTTTTTTGTTGACAGTCCCGGGGCCCGGCGAGGGCCCTTAGAGACAGGGACAAAAAATACGAAACGAATTGCAGTCGAAAAGGCGGAAAAAGGATTCAAGGTTCGCGGATTTGAAGGGGCCCACAAACACACAACTAAATACACACACACAAATAACAGGAATCCCAATATGTTCACATATTTTCTGGGTGTTTGTCTTCCCCCCCACTTCCCATATTTTCCCATATTTTCCTGGGAGTCGGCGATAAATTGTGCCTGTGTGCTTCTTTCCCTCCTGAGATTGGGCACCTCCTCCTGGGTGGCGACCTCCGAGCCATCCCCCACCAGCCGTCGATGCTCCCGAGTCGATGGGTTGGCTGGGGCAAGGCTCGGACGTCGCAGCGTGCTCGACGAATGCCGAGCCTCTACTCCTCACCAGCCTGGAGCAGGAGGAGGAGGAGGAGGAGGAGGAGGAGGAGGAGAAGAACGAAGAGGAGGAGGAGGAGGAGGAGGAGGAGGAGGAGGAGGACGAGGACGAGGAGGAGGAGGAGGAGGAGGAGGAGGACGTGCAGGAGAGGGAGGAGGAGGGCCGCCAGCCTGGAACATATCCCCATCCCTATGCTGGGCATCTCCTCATCACGATGCCAATCTCAGGGGTTCCCTTATGTTTTGAGGGCGAACCCCTAAGATTGTCATCGCCCTTTGGCGTGTCAGATCTTAGGGATAGGGATAAGTTCGAGGCTGGTGAACTCCCGCCGCCCATCGAGTTGCCTGAATCGTTGATCGGCGAGCTTGGGGCGCGAATTTCGCCGCCGATCTTCCTCCTCGCGAACACTTTCTTGCAGGGCTGGACATCAACGTTGTCTCTCGTTTTGCTTTCGTTTTGTGTTTCGTTTTGCTCTACCTGCTTTCCTGCACCTCCCTCCCCAACCGGAACACAAAACACGGCCGAAATCCAGTAAAACAGTGCTTGGGTCCAGCCCTGCTTTCTTGTGGACACCCGACATGGGTAACCGTGGGCACGATATGCCCAACAGCAAATGTTGCCCCCAAAACCGACAGCGGCCGCTGTTGTGGCCAGCCAGCCCGCGGCCTCAAGTGGACAACCCCCGCGGGGGCACCGACAGCGAACCTTGCTGGTCATCATGCCCATTCTTTCCTTACCAATTTCAATCTACCGATCAATCAGAGAAGGAAAAGAAAGCCATACCGCTACCCTTCGCCAGTTGTCCCCTTTTTCGCCGTCCTGGGAGGCTCTCGTCGCCACCGATGGATTCGCCTCGAAATTCTGGTCATAAGGCACCCTGGGAGAGGGCCGGGGAGTAGCGGTATCGGTACCTTTTGACTGTCCCCAAATCAAACATCCGTCCCCGGACACCTCCTAGGGTCCACCTGGTGTCAGGTTGGGCATGTCCTCCTACAGGCGGACTTTGAAGGGAAGATGAAAAATAGTCAAACATCGTCCCCAGACTCATTCTAGACTGTCCAGAGATAGCAGAAACCTCGTCCCCAGACTCATTTTAGACTGTTCGTGAATTGTCCCCCTGTAGAGGGACATGCCCAGCTTAAGCCCGGTGCTGGTTTTCGCCTCGGATCCGTTTCTGACAGCCCCGCGGGGCCCGGGCACGCCCCCTCGAGGCCGGACAACAACAAAACAAAACAAAAACGTGCCCGGACCCCGCGACTCGAACCTCGATCCCCTCCCCCCTCCGACGCCAGGTACCGCTACCGCGCCCCTGACCTCTCCTGGGGTGCGTTCTGAATTGAAGGCGCCCTGGGACACGCAAATAGATAGACACAAAGAACAGGATTCCCAATGTTGTCCTATTTTTTTTTGGGGGGGGGGTGTCTTCCCCCCACATCCTATATGCTCCGATATTCTTACTATTTTCTGGTGAATCGACGATTGATTGTGTCTGTGTGTTTGTTCCCTCCTGATGACTGGCATTTCGAAGCAAATCCAGCAGTGGAGACGAGGGCCTCCACGGAGGCCCCCCGAAACAGGGAAAACGGGGCCATGGGGCCCTGGTGGCAGCATCGGTACGGCAGGTTCGCGTCGTGCCGACTTCGACGTTGGTTCCTGACACCGTGGGGAGCGTTCGACCTTGAACGATCGGCCGTTCTCAAACCGTCAGATCGCTTGAAATCGACAGATTCGTGGTCGCCAGCGGAGTTCAACGTTTATTGCCGGCCACGGGGTCGCCGCCGGTCGACCCGACGCGAACCGACCGTACGGTTGGGAGAAACAACGTGTGGACACTCCCCCGCCCCCCACATACTCGAAGCTGGCACGCGCGGTGGAGACTGCGGTCGAAGTGGAACTCATCAGACCCACCGCCAACTTTGAACTTTGGGGGGAGGGGGAGGCGTTGACACAGGTCGGGCATGCCCTCCCACAGGCAGAATTCGGAAGACACATCAAAAACGGCATCAAAAATGCCCCAACACAAATCAAACCTAGCTAGGCAAACATCGTCCCCAGGCTAGTGTTTGACCATTTCTGACTCCTCCTCCTCCTGTACTTAGAGGGACATGCTCGATGCAAGCGTTGGCCCATGATCGTGGCATGCGTGTTTTCGCTCTGAGCCTGTTGTTGTATTATCCGCGGCGATAACGGGCGTGAATGGGGGGGGAGGGAAAGGGTTGGCGCCCTTCCGATCACATCACGGCGGGTTTCGGCCTCCATGGGCCTTTGTCGAGCCCCGAGAGAAACCCTTGAGATCCTCTGGCAACCCTGGAAGATTCCTTGGGGACACTTTTGGAAACAGCGTGGCGTGATCGGAGGGAGGGGGGGGGCGGGGGCCATCAGGAGCGTTATCGCCCAGACTATTTTGCTCTTTGTATTTCTCATTGATTTATTTCTTTATACATGTATATATATATATATACAAATAAGCAGGCTCCATATTTCTCCTCCGAGGCCTGTGCCTCCCCCCCCCCTGGCCGACTTCTGCTCCCCCCCGGCCTCGGCCCTGCAGGCGCTGTGCGCCTGCCCCATCGCGCGGCGGGCCTCCGCGGCACGGCGCCGCCCCCCCCCGCGCGCGCGCCTCCGGCGGGCGAGCCGGCGCGCGGGCGCGCTGCGCGCCGCGGGCCTCGGTCCCCACCGGCGATCGGAGGCAACGGCGGCGACGGGGGCTCCCAATGTCGCGCTTCGCGCTGCGCGAGGGGCGAAGTGCGAACAACTTCGCGCTCTCGCGCCGCCTCCCAGGGGAGAAGAGGAGGAGGAGGAGGAGGAGGAATCGGAGCCGAAGCGCGAAGCGCGAATAACCTCGCGCCCTCGAGGGCGCCCGTGGAAAAGGGGGCCTTCTGCCGGGCCGCGGGGGCCTCGCCGTCGCCCGGGCCTGCGGTTCCCGGTGCGTGGTGCGGGGTCGTGCGCGTTTATAATGCGGGATGACGATTGATAAGAAAATGGGAGAGAACGATTACAACATAGCTTTCTGCTATTGCTGCACACTTTTCTGACTGGAGGAGAACGATAAAAAAATAGTTTTCCAGCCCGCGGCTGGTTTTTTCTAATCGTCATCCCTGGCGCCGCCGCGTGAACACGACCCCCGGTCATTTATTAATCGTCATCCTCCATTATTTGTTCTCTTCTCCGCAGGATGGCGCAAGAGGCTCCTCGACCAACGAGAACAACGGACGCGTGCGAGCGATGCCAGGGGGACTCGGCTCGCCTAGCTCGCTCGCCCCTCGTGCGTTCTGCTGGGTTCGGCTCGGGCGCAGGCGCCCTGTTGCCAGACACTGGAGATGCCGCCTTGGGTCTCGAGGCGAAGCAATTCCACCCCGATTCCATCGCCCAGTCACGGCGCAGCGAGCAAGCAGAATCGGGCAGCACCAGACTTCGGGAGCTCGGATCGGATCGGAGCCCACACCTCCACCTGGCTGCTCGGCGTGTGCGAGAACCCGCTTCGTTTGACTCGTCGTCGTCGCCGTCGTCGCCGTCGCCGCTTCCCCGTCTCCTTGGGCCCTCGCGGGAGTCGTCGTCCACAGTCAGCGGCACTGGCCGCAAGGCCTTAGCAATCGGATCAGATCGAATCGCAGACCTCCAATGGCCCCTGGGCGCCCCAGAGGAACCGCCAGGAAGCCCCAGGCGGCTCCCAAGAGGCCCCCAAGACACAACACTTCGTGGGGGTCCTTGGGCACCCCTTGGGGGCCTCGTGCTGCCTCTTGGGCACTCTTGGGAGCGCCTGACCCCGACCTTCCCGCATGCCTCCGTCGTCGTAAGGGGGTCGTCGTCAAAAGGGTCGGCGGCACCAGCCGTAAGGCCTGAGCCATCGGACCTGATCGGAGCCCGGCCCTCCAGTCGGGAATGGACAGACCCCCCTTTAGTAAAACGTGGTTTAGTGAAAACGACCTGAGGCCCAAACCTGGCGGGCGCAAGCCTGGAAAATAACGGCCACGGCGCCATCTCGAGAACCGAAAACGGACAATTCACTAATCGACGTGTCACTGTTGGGGGTTCTGTCCACCCCCGATCCAGTGGGCTGCGTGATGCGGTCGTGGCACTGCCAGGAGGAGCGCCCACCGAGGAACGGATGGGGCGTCCCCGGCCACGGCGGGCCTCGTCCACGACGCGGCTCCTCGGCACAGGACCTCGGGAGCGGCCCGAGAGCGCGAGCCCCCTCCTGAGCCCCAGGTGGTCCTCATGACAGCGCCCCGGCTGCCTTTCGAGCAGCAGAATTTTGAGGGATGAAAAAAACGAGCCTACCGTGGGTTACAAGTGCGCGGTCTGTAAACCTCCTGGGAAACCCCGAAAGCCTAGAGCCGCCAGGACGCGGCACATCACGCAGGGCTTACCCTGTCAGCCCACAGGAGTTTCAGCGCACAGCGCCTCGTAAACAAGGGTGGGGGCGTTTTTTTTTCTGCCCTTGAGAATTGGCTGACCCCAGAATGGAGCGTGTGGTCGCCTCTAAAATTGGACGAAACAGCAGAAGTGATGAAAAAACGACCCTACCCTGGGTTACAAGTGCGCGGTCTGTAAACCTCCTGGGGGCCCCAAAAGCCTAGAGCCGCCAGGACGCGGCACATCACGCAGGGTTTACCCTGTCAGCCCACAGGAGTTTCAGCGCACAGCGCCTCGTAAACCAGGGTGGGGGCGTTTTTTGTCTGCCCTTGAGAACTGGCTGACCCCAGAATGGAGCGTGTCGTCGCATCTAAGAGAAATGCGTGGAATATGGGTCGATCTAGAATCATTTGACGTAGTTGTACTTTGGACGCCACTGCGACGCTGGTGTAGATCCATTACGTAGTCGATCTCCTAGTCGAAGAGTCGACCACAAACACAGGACTGCCCACGTTGACCATAGCCTGACAACACTTTGTCGCTACATTGTTAACCATGAGCCACGTCTGCATTGCAGAGTGGGGGGGGGGAGGCTTGGAAGGGGCATGTCACCCCTTGACAATAAAAACCTTACTCCGATGTGTGACCGCCGCTATGGCCGCGGCGATCTCCAACACAGTCCTGGAGGCTTGGTTAGGGAAAATAGCACGTAACGATCCAAAATGCTGGAAATAAGAATGTCGAATATTTTCGCAGTTCTTGGCATCCCGGTGCCTCCGCCAGGCCAATTTTGGTTGGCCCAAAAGGGAGTCCCAACTGAAAGGGGGTGGTGCAATAGATTTGGGGCAATTGTGATGCAAATGTCTTGCGCTAGGGAATTGTATGGCATTGTATTGCAACTGATGTATTGCACGCGAACATCCGGCAACACGCTTGCGCCCCGGAGTGTATTGCACGCCCCAAAGTTATTGCAACCACAAATCTAGTGCACCAGATCTATTGCACCACCCCCTTGTGGCTGGACCCCCTGCTAGGTAAACCACATCAGTGGATTGTCAAGAAGCTGCTCAAGGTCAAAAACTCTGGCCGCAGGTCAAGTCCTGGACATCTGGGGGCCCAGAGTGAGGCGAACCAATGCGTCGCATCACTCGGGGCTGCCCCAGGCTCGAGGTCATTGGCGGGGAGGAGGATGGGAGGACGGAGGACGGAGGAGGAGGAGACAAGACAAGACAAGACAAGACCCATGGTGCGCCAATGATCCAACCATCGTCAGAGCAACGCTGGCGCCTAGGTTCTGCTTCAACAGGCCTCGCCGTGCCGCCAGGCACGCTGGCCTGCGCCCCAGTGGGGGCAGACGCAAGCTCGGCGGCGGGCCCTACGGCGCGCAGCCTGTGGCTGCCACCGTGAGCACCTATCCCGAAAAGAAACTCTATCCGAGACACGACTCAACAGCAAAAAGATCGAGGCGAGCGACGAGCGATTAGCGAGCCGCCCCACCCCGACCAAGACCACCCCTGCCGCGACGCGTCGGTCGCTGTCTGGGGAGGGCCACCGCGGGCCCCACTTCGGGAGCAGCTTCGAAAAAGAAAGAAGATTGAGAAGAGGCGGGAGGATCCCCAGGAGGCTCGAGCCCAGGAGGAGGACGAAAAGGGGTAGGAGTCAGGACTGCAGGCGGCGGCGGGGCAGGATGCCCAGATACAATTCTGGCGGGAGCCTCACTTAGATGGCCACGCTGCAAAAGTCTCTGGGCACGCTCACTCATAGACCAGTCGAAACTCACTTGACTATGTCCAAGAGACGCTGCGCCTCGCGAGCCAACACTCCGCGTGGTGCTCCCCCCACGGTGCGCCCCCTGCCCTGCGCCTTCAGCATCTTCCTGATGGCCGCGAGAAGCTGCGCGCCTACGTTGTTGCCTGGAGTCGTGTCCAGCAGGAATTGTACGTTGGCCATATCTTCGCCTGCCTTCGTTTTGCCCTTCAAGCGCTTGGCCCGACAGAACCTGACCACGTCGCACAGGATCACTGGATCTGCTGCCGTACTCACCACATTCACCCAGTATTCCTTCGCGGCCACCTGCACGTTGGGAAAATCCCCCGACTCCGAGCCGACCGTAGCTGCTTCCACCATCGCCGAGAACACTCGAAGAAATGGGGCGCGCAACTTCTCTTTCTGATACGTTTTCCATATTTGGCTGCGGCCTTCTCCTTCTCCCTCTCCGCCTGGGCCTCTGAATTGAATGACTGATTCTCCTCGAGCATGGCTTGCACCACTGCGCTGTCTACTGGTTGAAGCCACGTGTCGTAGACCGTAGCGCGCAACTCCGCCTCGTCGTTTAGCACCAATTTTGCCAAAACTACCACCAGCCCGTCGATGGACTGCTTCTTGCCCTTGCCGCCTGCGAACTTCTGACCGCCCCCTTGTGGTCCCTTGTGAGACTCTCCGACACGGGCGACCTTGTTGTCTCGTCCCTCTGAAGACTTTGCTATCCACGCAGGCCTGCGAGGCGCCATCTGAGCGTCCCCCTCGGGCATCTGGGAAAACGTAGCTGTGGCGGTATCGGTCATACACACGCAAGGCTCGAGGAAAATGCGCGCGGACGTGGCTCTGATAATCTGAGTAGCAAGATGCAATATATTCACACAATAAGCACTGAAGGTCATCCACTGAGCGCAATGGTTCGCAAGTACGACAACCTCCTGCGCAGCACCATCCCCTGACTAGTGAACCCACAAGATGTATACTAGCAGTAGCACTTCCAGTAAAGATCTCCAAGCAATTTGGGCACTGATTTCCTTTGTTTAGTACATGGCCTAGAGAACGGAAATGATGATGAAACCTCAAGTGGTTCACAGCCGATTTCTTATCAGCAAAATAGCAGCAACATCTAGCCAGGTCCCCAGACCCCTGCTTAGAATATACTCCACGCACCCAGCGAAATTCCCCCCCCCCCCCCCCCCCCCCCCCCCCAGCCTCCTCCACCTCCAGAACATGCCCGAGACCAGGATCTAGAAAACCTGGGGGAGGAATCAGAACAGTTTGAGAGCGACGACGGAATCGACAGAAGTCGGTTCTGCACAGACACCGTCCAAGCTCCTCGCCCCACCACAGTGCCAAAAAGGAGCTCTGAAGCCTTGCGAGGAGATCAGCTCCTTCAATGCTTTCAAGACTCTCCAAGACCGAATAGAAAAGCCTTGCCCATGGATTTGCATGCTTAGTCAATCTTCCCATACGGTCATACTGCTCATTCC